TACCGCCCCTTGAGGCACCTAAGACTTTGAGACCACAGCTCTCTGCCGCAGCTCCCGCAATGGAAGCTTTGAACATTGCCCACTCAGGTTCAATGCCCCCAACCTCTACAGGGATGTCAGAAAAGTTCCGTCGGAGGTGTGAGTTGAAGATCTCATGGACAGGGGCCTCCACCAGACGCTCCCAGTTCACCCGCACTACCCGTTTGGGCTTTCCAGGTCTGTCCAGAGTCTTCCCCCACCCCTTGATCCAACTCACCACCAGATGGTGATCAGTTGACAGCTCCGCCCCTCTCTTCACCCGAGTGTCCAGAACATGCGGCCTCAGATCAGATGATACGATTACAAAATCAATCATAGACCTTCGGCCTAGGGTGCTCTGGTACCAAGTACACTTATGAGCCTCCTTATGTTCAAACATGGTATTCGTTATAGACAGTCCATGACTAGCACAGAAGTCCAATAACAAATGCCCGCTCGGGTTTAGATCAGGGAGGCCGTTCCTCCCTCTCCAGGTACAGTGCCTTGCGAAAGTATTCGGCCCCCTTGAACTTTTCAACCTTTTGCCACATTTCAGGCTTCAAACATAAAGATATAAAATTTAAATTTTTTTGTGAAGAATCACCAACAAGTGGGACACAATTGTGAAGTGGAACGAAATCTATTGGATATTTTAAACTTTTTTAGCAAATAAAAAACTGAAAAGTGGTGCGTGCAAAATTATTCGGCCCCCTTTACTTTCAGTGCAGCAAACTCACTCCAGAAGTTCAGCGAGGATCTCTGAATGATCCAATGTTGTCCTAAATGACTGATGGTGATAAATAGAATCCACCTGTGTGTAATCAAGTCTCTGTATAAATGCACCTGCTCTGTGATAGTCTCAGGGTTCTGTTGAAAGCGCAGAGAGCATCATGAAGACCAAGGAACACACCAGGCAGGTCCGTAATACTGTTGTGGAGAAGTTTAAAGCCGGATTTGGATACAAAAAGATTTCCCAAGCTTTAAACATCCCAACGAGCACTGTGCAAGCGATCATTTTGAAATGGAAGGAGTATCAGACCACTGCAAATCTACCAGGACCTGGCCGTCCCTCTAAACTTTCAGCTCAGACAAGGAGAAGTCTGATCAGATATGCAGCCAAGAGGCCCATGATCACTCTGGATGAACTGCAGAGAACTACAGCTGAGGTGGGAGAGTCTGTCCATAGGACAACAATCAGTCATACACTGCACAAATCTGGCCTTTATGGAAGAGTGGCAAGAAGAAAGCCATTTCTCAAAGATATCCATAAAAAGGCTTGTGGCAAACTTTAGACGAGACTTTTTATGGATATCTTTGAGAAATGGCTTTCTTCTTGCCACTCTTCCATAAAGGCCAGATTTGTGCAGTGTACGACTGATTGTTGTCGTACACAGCCCTCAGGTTCATAGGGACACACAAACCTCTCCACCACGATAAGGTGACGGTTACTAGAGAGGTTACAGTTATAAACACCATTATGAGTCTGATTAACATGAGTTCTGTGTAATTATAATTTCCATCTTTCTACTGCCATGAGATTTATTATCCCTACATAACACTGATATCTGATAGTCTGTATCTCTTATAACAGAGATTCTCTTCCTGATGAACATACACTCAGCGGTACTTTACTTTAACTTTTACTCTCACTGTTCATGAATGATGTGCTTTATAAATATCTAAGATATAATAAGAAATAACTTAAATCATGCAGTGAAAGAGTAAAAATCATGATGTACCTCTAACTGTAATTGTAACTGGATCACTGAGCTCTGAGTCGTAGTTTCCTCTGCGTGCTTTACACTGATACACTGTTTCTCCTGCATTAGAGACTGTATCATGGAGTGTGTTGTTGTCTTCAGCTACTTGGACTCGATCTTTGTACCAGAGAAAAGTCCATCCATTAGACAGCAGATTACAGTTCAGAGTAACTCTGTCTCCAGTGTAGACGGAGCTCTGAGGATTCACTCTCACAGTCGGTTTGGGTTTTTCTGTTGATATGAAATGATGATGATATTAAAGTTTTCCTCTTTACAACATAAACAATAGTTTTCTCTTCTTAATCAGATGATTTGTGTCTAATAATGCATTTAAGTTCAGCATTTGTTAAACAGTTACAGTTGTGTGACTTTAGTACATGGACAACATGCTCTTATAATATCATTATACTTTATATATACTGTACATGGAATTAATTTAATATATTGTTCATAACTGAACAAACACACTGAAGTTGAAAGGGTTTTTCATTTTTTTCAAAATGTACTTTTTGAGTGGTGCATAAATACACACGCTTAATGAATTCATTTTCACAAGTGTGTTCACTATTATGAACGTTGGATGCAGTGAATGTACAACTACACCATTAATCATTACTAGACACAGGATAGGTAACTAAAACTTCTGTGACATGTTAAAGCAATCTTGTGACCTTAATCCACATTGCATATAGTGATCTGATGCTGAAGTTAATAAATCTTGGTGTGAGGAAGAGATTAACACACACACACATATACACACACACAGAGTCAGAACAACTTTTGGTCTCTCTGTACAGTTACAACAAATACATCAAATCAGTCAAACACACCCTTATCTGACCATCTGATATTTAATCAGTGTGTTTTGTAATGATTATGTGTATCAGTGCATGTTACAGGAGTGTAAGATCAGATATGTACCTATCACTGAGAGAGTCACTTCATTACTCTCTTGTGTTGGCCATCCATTAGCCCTGTAACAGCTGTATTTGTGACTCTGATCTACGTTTGTAGTGTAGTAATTTTCAGCAGAACTGTGACTATAAACATCATCCTTGGACCAGTGGTACAGTCCACTTCCTATCGAAATACTACATGTGAGTGTAACCGTCTCTCCTCTGAATATTTGTGGTGAATTCGGCTCCACAGACAGAACTGGTATAATCTCTGCTGGAAAAGTCAAAAAGCAAACACACACTGTCAATGTAAATAACTTAAAATCTGCATGACAATGTACAAACAATCTTCTCCACCTTAATACAAATCCAACATGTACACAACATAGGCAATAAAATCTGTATAAATCACCTTGAGCTTGTCTGACTCGGATAAGTGAAATAAGCACTAAAAAGGGAAGAGGAACAGAGAATATGATGTAACGCTGACTTGTTTCTTTTCTTTAAGAAGACAAATGAGAACAATGTCATATACTGTAAAAAAAATCTATATTTAGTTTCACTTCAGCTATAAGAAATGCAATATATCGACCTGTTTCAATAATGAATGGTGTTTAGAAAAAGCTATTTTCACTCAGGTCACTATGCTGCTCATTACTGCTCATCTGCTAATCTGAAGCTGGATTATAACACTTCCTTAACTGTGTCTCACATGAGAAAAGCGCTCCTGTACACTAAAGCTATGGTGTAATACATACAGCCTGCAGGATGTCATATATGAGGAAAAGCCAGAGTTCAGTAGCAAATACAGGATAATGAACACATGCAGACTAGGTGTCACGTCTGTCACGTTCCGTGATGTAACGGAAGATAAGGCGGATGCAAGCGCAGTTAGAACTATAGTTTTAATTAAAGAAAGACAGGCCGACAAATCCAAATCGTAATCCAAAACGTAATCCAAAACATGCAAGGTCAGACGATCGGCAAACAGGCATAAACTTGGGCAAAACAGGAATCAAGGTCGAGGTCACAGAAAACGGGGTCGAGATATGAAACATAAAACATGAACAATAGCGAGGGACTGGTAGCGGAGAAACCAGTGAACTAAACTAACAAATCTAGACTATGACACACATGTAATTTATCTAACATCTAATATTACTCTAATATTACGCATTGAGTGTTGCGAGGCACGCAGTATATTCTGTATGCTGACATGATTACCCTGATAACTGCTAACAGCTGAGGGTAATCTAGACACACGTGACACCATAACCAATGACAGGACGGGGAGGAGAGATGACATAAACAATAACAAAAGCACGTGTCAAAATGTCACTGCTGTCCACAACAGAGAAGCAGGTGCTCGCGCACGCGCGCTCACATATTCCATAGCGCGCTGCACAAAGGGGGACTCATGACACTAGGATTGCACAATGTATTGAAAAATGTCTCTCACAGAAACGTCTGTGAGAATGACTATCAAGTGTAAAACTGAAAACCTATGTGGCTTTTAAAGTTAAAAGATGTTCTCTTAAAGCTAAGACAATATAGAAGGTTCATTAAGTCTTCACTTTCTTTGAAACAAGTGATCCTATCACAGAGCAGGACAAAGTCAAAAGGGAAATGAAGATCTTCAAGGCTGGATTACATGGTCAAAGGAGAAGTAGAAGATCTTGCTGTTGCTTAATCGCCAATCATCAGATTTTCTCAACAAGAAAAGTACAAGGGAGAGATGGCTGTCTTGCTAAATGGAAGATCTGGAGTAAAGAGAAGCAGTGATATTCATAACCTTCATCCAGTGTTGATGGATGGTGTGCTCAAAGTTGGTGGAAGACTTAGTAGAGCAGCTATACCAGAAGAGATGAAATGTCCTCTTATCTTGTTAAAGGAACACCATGGATCCAAACTCATGTGGGAACAAGTTCATAAAAACTAGGTCATGCCCGAGGAAACCACACGTCAACACTTCAAAAAAGGGTCATGGGTTATAAATGCAAGTAGAAAAATAATTTCAGAATGCGTTGTCTGTCAACGTCTACAAGAAGTGAGAACAAAAAATGGCTGACGACTCATGCATTAAAGTTTGATCCTTCAGCCCCTTACTACTTTTCAGGGTCACGGGGGAACCTGGAGCCTATCCCAGGAAGCATCGGGCACAAGGCGGGGTATACCCTGGACAGGGTGCCAGTCCATCGCAGGGCACAATCACATACACCACACACCCATTCATACAGTCAGTCTTGCATGTCTTTGGACTGGGGAGGAAGCCGGAGTGCCAGCAGGAAACCCCCACAGCACGGAGAGAACATGCAAACTCTGCACACACATGGCAGAGCGGGAATCGAACCCCAGACCTTACAGGTGTGAGGCAAACGTGCTAACCACTAAGCCACCATGTTTGATAATGGCCCAAATTTCATTGGAGCAGAAAAAGAGCTCCAGGCAGCTTTGAACACACTGGATCATGAAAAAATCCTGCGTACATGATTCTATCTGAGGGACTCAAATGGACCTTTAATCCCCCTGCTGCATCACATCACGGTGAAGTGTGGGAATGGCTCATTCATCTGGTAAAGACGGTCCTGTACTCCACTCTCCAACAACAATCGTTGGATGATGAGAATTTTCCTCTCCGTCACAAAGCTTTATGATTTTTTTGAACAACTTGGAAGCTCTTATGCCCGATCACATTTTACAGCTGAGATCAAAACCACTTCTTCCACCAAGGCTTTTAAAAAAAAGTGATCTGTACATCAGATGTAAATGGTGACAAGTCCAATACTACAGAGAATACTTTCCCCTTCTCCAGAAATATCAGAAGTGGATGAAACCACACAGAACTTCACTGTTGGTGATATTGTGATCATTGTGATCATCATGGATCCAGCAGCTCCACAAAGTTCTTGGCTACTAGACAAAATAACTCAAACATATCCTGACAAAAGAGGACTCAAAACTAAAACAGGACGACTGGGCAGAGCTGTGTTTAAAATCTGCCTGTTTTTAGAAGACAGTAAGGACTGATCTCTAAAAAAGATATACACATACACATATTCTGAATTCTTTGGTAACTGAAAGGATTGTAGTTGCACACCAACAACCGGCCGGTGAGTAGGAGCCATTGTATATAAGTGTATGTGCAATGCACGTATTTGGAGGCGATCACCATTTGAGGGGAGTATATGTATGGAAAGGGGTATTATATGAGGTGTTCGCACAAAACAGTAAGAAGAAGAGGAAGTTTTGGGTGGTGTGAGCATTTACGGTTGCGTCTGAAATACGCATACCATGACTGTACGTACTGCATTAGATTCAGTACCTACAGCTCAGCCGCTGATATAGTACGTACTGATCAGAATATGTGTGAATATATATGAATACAATCTGGACATAATACATCCAACATGTTGGTGCAGACAGGTCTTCTGCGCCAGTTCCGTTACATTATGGGTTAGTGCAGTATCCACAGTGTCCACTTGATGTAGATGTAGACTGCAGAATCAGAAGGTTATCCGGGTATTTCTCGCCTACTGTTTTATGAATACTGAGAATTCTGGCATGCTATTACTTTGGTGTACTGCTTTTCACCTTCTGTGTAGTAAGGGAGTAGGGATATTCAGCCTATGGTAGTATGCCTATAATACAACGGGATTGTCAGAATCAGCAACGAGTAGTATTTATGGATCGTATTCATACCACTTATATTGTAAATACTTAAACTGTGACAATAAATGAGAACACAACCCAAAACGCATCTACAACACGTGGACATTGGATTATATGTGTGCGTAAAGGAACACACCAAAGCCGACAGCTATACTGAAAATAAAGTTAAAGATAGCTAATACAAACCCATACAATGACAATCATAACAACTACATTTCTAATGTCTAATCACTTCTAATTCAAGTCTAATCACGTTAAATATTCCACCATATTATAAACTTTTGAACACAATTATCAACAATATATTATTTTTTAAAATTTTTTAAGTAACAACATAACACTCTGATCATGTACTCTTCCTTTCATACCTTATAAGAAACAGAAAATGTTCATCCATGATAAAAGCCCATGAATATTTTACGAACCAAAATCTGATTCATGCTCAGAAAAAAACTCCATGCCACATCGGACATTCTACAACCCAAAAAAACACAAATCCTGAAGCTGGTAGATTTCAGATTCTACACATATGCAATAAAATGAATCAAAAGGTCCTCGCTGCATTCTGTAGCACGATGACGCATTGGCTTAGATCCACTAGGTACTGCATGTTGTAACACACATGCACCAACTGCAGACACAGTATGTCACTGTAATCCATCTATAGTTAGGATTTGGGTTAGTGTTGAGGTCAGAACATCCATTACATAGTATATCTAATCTAATGTCATTACACTACAGACTGTAGTGAGGACACACACAATTAACAGCAATTCACATAAACATGCTGAAAACAAAAAATATTTAGTCCCTGTAGGACTGTACTGTACACTCCCACTGATATAATTATTAATGCAACTAATTAATACTATTCTATGTATAAATGTAACAATTACCTTAACCTCAGTAACCAAACAATAAAAAAAGTTCTCATAAGGGCTCAACTCAAATGAACAAACACAACTGATATGGATGTACACTGATCCAACAATCATATCAGAGAATCATACAAAAATGTTCTAATCACATATTAACCTCATCACACAGGACATGTTTTAAACCACCACTCACTCTAATGAAGACACAAAGAAAACATTTACTCACAGATCATCACACAGAGTGGACGGAGCTCCATCCTGTCTCACTGATGAAGGACTGACTGATCAGTGGTCTGTGTTAAAGCCACTACACTTCCTGTGTTCTTACACACAGAGTGAAAGAGAGAAAGACTTCCGTTCTGGTCAAAGTTGATATGATCTTTTTATATGAACCCTAGTTCTTTGCCTGCAGAAATTATAACAACAATTTGTAAAACATAACTATATTCAACTCCTGAACTTGTACAGTTCCTCTGCTACTTCACACAGGTTCATAATTGATCTCAACAAGACATCCAGTGCACCTTTCTGGAAAGATTTTTATCTCATTTGATTGAATAAGCAAGCTAACTATTTTGAAAGAATGAGGTCTTTCCTAAATAAAGAACTTTTCTAATCTGTCAGATTTACTTGAGGTTTTGGGTTTGATGTATTCCATAAAGATCAGAAAAGTTCACTGGACATGCTGTCAGAACCTCCTATAAAGTTGGGAGGCAGGACTTCTCCTAGTCACAAAATGGGGTTCTTAAATGAACAACCTAGATGTGATTAGTGAAAGGAATTCCAATATTTAGATTTTTACAATAAATCTTTGCATATTTTCATCCATTTGATTTGGACATTAATAACAACAACAACAACAACAACAACAATAATAATAATAATAATAATAATAATAATAATAATAATAATTCCTTACATGTACAGTATCTCACAAAAGTGAGTACACCCCTCACATTTTTGTAAATATTTGATAATATATTTTCATGTGACAACACTGAAGAAATTACACTTTGCTACAATGTAAAGTAGTGAGTGTACAGCTTGTGTAAGAGTGTAAATTTGCTGTCCCCTCAAAATAACTCAACACACAGCCATTAATGTCTAAACCACTTGCAACAAAAGGGAGTACACCCCTAAGTGAACATGTCCAAATTGGGCCCAATTAGCCATTTTCCCTTCCCTGTGTCATGTGACTTGTTAGTGTTACAAGGTCTCAGGTGTGAATTGGGAGCAGGTGTGTTACATTTGGTGTCATTGATCTCACACTCCCTCATACTGGTCTCTGGAAGTTCAACATGGCACCTCATGGCAAAGAACTCTCTGAAGATCTGAAAAAAAGAATTGTTGCTCTACATAAAGATGGCCTAGGCTATAAGAAGATTGCCAAGACCCTGACACTGAGCTGCAGCACGGTGGCCAGGACCATACAGTGGTTTAACAGGACAGGTTCCACTCAGAACAGGCCTCACCATGATCGACCAAAGAAGTTGAGTGCACATTCTCATCGTCATATCCAGAGGTTGTCTTAGGGAAATAGACATTTGAGGATGGGGGGTCAGCCTGTCAGTGCTTAGACCATACGCCGCACACTGCATCAAATTGGTCTGCATGACTGTCCTCCCAGAAGGAATCCTCTTCTAAAGATGATGCACAAGAAAGCCTGCAAACAGTTTGCTGAAGACAAGCAGACTAAGGACATGGATTACTGGAAACATGTCCTGTGGTCTGATGAGACCAAGATAAACTTATTTGGTTCAGATGGTGTCAAGCGTGTGTGGCAGTAACCAGGTGAGGAGTACAAAGACAAGTGTGTCTTGCTTACAGTCAAGCATGGTGGTGGGAGTGTCATGGTCTGGAGCTGCATGAGTGCTGCCGGCACTGGAGAGCTGCAGTTCATTGAGTGAACCATGAATGCCAACATGTACTTTGACATACTGAAGCAGAGCATGATCCCAGCATGTATTCCAGCTTGATAACGACCCCAAACACACCTCCAAGACGACCACTGCCTTGCTAAAGAAGCTGAGGGTGAAGGTGATGGTCAAGCATGTCTCCAGACTTAAACCCTATTGAGCATATGTGGGGCATCCTCAAACAGAAGTTGGAGTGGACTGAGTGGGAAGGTGGGACTGAAGTGGAGTTTAAGACCCCTGCATTACATACATTGATGCACAAATGCAGATATTGGGCCTGAAGTGGAGATTAAGACTCCTGCATTACATACATTGATGCACAAATGCAGATATGTTCTATGTGTCAAAAGTATATGGAAATAATAAACTAGTCTTATAAACTCCACGATTTAGCTTCAAATATACTTAAACTATTTAACTTAAAATATAATCTACATACACAAACTACTGTAATATTAATTTATATCTCTCAATAGAAAGGTTTTTCCACATTTTAATAAGAATGTATTAATACAACTACATATAAGAATATTTCCAGTATGTTTTGTTTGTTATTAAAAAAAACTTACATTTTGCATCAAGCTCGTTTGAGTCATGTGAATACTGTCAGCAATTCGCTCGTCTGAATCCTCGGTAATCCTTGGCAAACTTCAACAGTTTGTTTATCCGCCTCATACGGTTCTTTTTGAGTCGGATATGGCCAAAAAACTTCGGGTTTACACATGTAACCCTGTTCTCCAAGAAGGGAACGAGACATTGAATTTAGCATAACAGTATGGGAAGCACCCTTGTGTGCGTGACCGGTATCTGAAGCTTGTGTAAAATCATGCCGCTACTTATAGGCCTGCATGATCAGGTGATGTGGCAATTAAGCGCGTCGCATGATATATATATATGGCACTTGTGAACCGCGCCGCCAGCCTCTATTATCTGAAGTG